TTTAATAAAAAAATTTTTTTAAAAGGAAGAAAATGTTTGTCACATCATTCTGTTTCATTTTCTGCTTTTCGTGTTTTATGGGTATCTTGCTATGCTTCCAGGACCGCTCCCACCACCCTGCTGCCCTTCTGCACCACCCCAAACGGCTTTCCTAATACTCCTGAAAAACTAAACAAGACCCTTGGCATGGAGTCAATTCCAAGCCATATTGACCCGATGCAGGCTTTCTGAGCCTGTGAGTCTTTCTGAGAACAGACAGCCTCATCTTTCTCCCCAGGGATGGCTGGGGGGCTTGAACTGCCAACCTTATGGTGAGTGTTCCATGCCACTGCTTAAAGCTGAAAACCCTCTCTGCTGCTTCAGGCAGGTTCAGGCTTCTTAGTGTTGCCAAGGACCTCAGCTGCATGATTACAGCCGCCTCCTAAGCGTTTTCTTTTCTCCCGCTCACCTTCACACGTCTCCCCTTCCGGCCCCCAAGATTTATTTGGGTCTCTCATACCTTCCTGGGGCTTTCCTGCCCCACTCCTTGACGACACCCCTCGCCCCATCTCCAGTGCCTGCTCTCTTTAGAAGCCTCTCCATCCAGCCACACATCTATTTCCGTGAATCCTGCCAGCAGCAAGTGCTCTGTGCACAGCATCCACGCCACGCTCCTGCCTCAGACGATTATTCCACGTGAATCCCTTCACTCACCCCATCACACCCGTTGGGTGTCTACTGGGCCCGCGTGCCTCGCTGTGAGGGTTCAGGCAAACTAGCCCCTGCTTCCACCTTCAGGGAACTTGTGAAAAGAGAGAAAGAAGTACACACATCTTGACAATGCCGGGCTCAAGGCCAAATGGGGGCGCCGAGAGGAAGAAGCGATGGCCTGTCAGAAGAAGTTCCCAGTAGAAGCAAGTGGTTTATGCTCAGTCAGGAGGGCATGGTGGAGAGAAGGGTAAGACCTGGGTGGGAATCCTGACTTCACAAGCTGTTGGAACCTACTGCCTAAGCTCCGGCTTGCTCAGTGGGGCCAATCTCATCTGGCTTCGAAGGTCCCAGTGAAGAGTGATGAGACCATGTCTGTAACAGTGTGTAGCACCACCGTGGCCCCATGCAGGTGATCGCAGTGGGGATACCTTTGTTCTTCAGATGTTGGACCCACAAGAGCGCGGCGCCCGCTTCCCCTTCCTCGCCGGCTTGCCCACGCACAAGCTCTGCTGCAACGAGTATCGGTTATTGAGTTGATTAAAATGATATGGACAAAGTAGAGGCCTCTAGGCCCGACACATCAGGACATGTAGGGCCGGAGGGAGCCAGGCCGTTATCCCTGCGCAGCGGCTGGAGGAGCGATCTGATCTCCTTTCTGAGCACCAGGACTTTAGCATGTGGGAAATCGACTCAGCTGAAGACACACGAGCAGGGCCGGGCGAGCTGTCCATCTCAGCGCGAAGAGCCTGGCCTGGCCAAGGGTGCCGGGCCTACCAAGCACGAAGCAGAGTCGCAGGCCTGTCCCCGGGCCCGCCACACCCCACTAATGAGGGCCAGGGCTTTCATGAGTCCAGCTCTTTGAAGTCACACTGGCAAGCACTTACGCAGAGCTGGGCAGAGGAGTCCTGACTTAGGGAGAAGCCCAAGTACAGTCTTTTATGAGGGTGAGGGACTCTTCTGAGAAAACACATAACAAACCGAGGGCAAGGGCTTCTGACAATTACCCAACGCATAAAAAGGTTAAGAAAGGCTGCCTTCCACGTCCACGCCCTCCGCAGCAGGGGTATAAAGGCTCTTCCGAGGCAGGAGACCCACATGCTCTGAGTCTTGAACTCTGCTTCAGCAAAGCACCTCGCTCCCTCCCAGCACCATGTCGTACACCTGCTGCCTGCCCAACCTGAGCTGCCGCACCAGCTTCTGCTCCCGGCCCTGCATACCTCCCAGCTGCCACAGCTGCACCCTGCCCGGGGCCTGCAACATCCCCGCCAACGTGGGCAACTGCGGCTGGTTCTGCGAGGGCTCCTTCAATGGCAACGAGAAGGAGACCATGCAGTTCCTGAATGACCGGCTGGCCAGTTACCTGGAGAAGGTGCGGCAGCTGGAGCGGGAGAACGCGGAGCTGGATTGCCGCATCCGTGAGTGGTGCCAGCAGCAGGTGCCCTACGTGTGCCCGGACTACCAGTCCTACTTCCGGACCATCGAGGAGCTCCAGCAGAAGGTGAGGGCGTGGGCGCCATACCGCCTCCCTGGCAGGAAGTTGTAGGGAAAGCACCCGAGATACAATCAGGGAGCCAGGTTTCTTGCCAGCCAGGCCATTGCCTTTTAGGCCTAGGCCTGTTAGGTGTGAATATTTGCACCGTGCAGGTCTGCTGAGCTGGTAACAGCAGTCTGCATAAAGAAGCTGTAATTAAGAGCTGCCTCCGACGATTTCCTTGCCTTTGCCAAGCTATCCAGTTATTGCCCCGAGGTCAGGGAAAGGGTTCTGAAGGAAACTGAGGAAGGAGAAGGAACCTTCTGTAAGGATTGGATCCGTTTCTCTCTCCCGTATCTGGGCTTTGCGATGGCTTCCGATAGCCGGTGCCTTCCTTTTCTGAGTACCAAGTGACCCTGGCATGCTCAGCTCCTAGCCTGGCACCTAGAAAGCATTTGTAATAAATGCGGTTTTCGTAATGATAAATTGCTTCTTTGGAGAGACAAGGAAAGCCTATTTGATGGGCTGACATTTTTCTTGCGTGTCTCCCTGTTCCTCTTTTCTGTCTCTTGTACTTGAGACAGACTGTACTTTCCTGGTATGTCCATTTCACATAAGCAGCTTAGGAAGGCTTGCTGCTGGCTAAAAGCAACCCAGCTTACTCTGGAATGTTCCGGGCTTTCCAGATCCTGTGCAGCAAGGCCGAGAACGCCAGGCTGGTGGTGCAAATCGACAACGCCAAGCTGGCCACAGACGACTTTAGGACCAAGTGAGTGGGCACTCAGCTCTTTTGCCTCTTCTCCTTTCTTCCTCCCTCTCTTAGCCTGTGGTCCACACTGGCACACAGACAACGCCTGTTGCCATATGCGCCCCCGGCCCCACAGAGCAACGGGTCACCTGAACTCGGAAAGCACTTCTGTGGGTCCTCTTCTGTTTCTCTAAAAGCCAGGAGTCTTGCTGTGAACCCGAGAGGGCACCGTGTTCTCCTGATGCTCCATCACGCACAGGATTCCGCCATGGGAATATGGGAACGCATTAATTTTTTAAATCTCCCATGTTACAGGCCCTTGTTCCCTTGTCCAGTGGCTGTTTATTTTTAAAATCCCCAGGGCATTATTTTCTGCCAGGAGTTCCTGGTGGGTGTTCAAAACCCAGCTGGATGAGACAGTTGTGGGAACCTAGAGGCCCTCCTTCCCGGTTGTCTGGCCAACCAAACCAAGCCAGACACAGGGCTCCTGCCCCGCCTGCCCTGAGCCTCCTATGATCACAGGTACGAGACGGAGCTGTCCCTGCGGCAGCTGGTGGAGGCCGACATCAATGGCCTGCGCAGGATCCTGGACGAGCTGACCCTGTGCAAGTCCGACCTGGAGGCGCAGGTGGAGTCCCTGAAGGAGGAGCTGCTGTGTCTCAAGCAGAACCACGAGCAGGTGAAGTTCCCCAAAGAACCACGGGATCAAACGCGTCTGTGCCTGTCTCCCAAGCACCCCAGGGTGTGGGAGAGGCTCTTGGTGAAGGTTCAATTAGCCGAGGAAGCTTCTCTCCAAACAAAAATGGATTTGTGAAGAGTGTGAGTAATCTCAAGCTCATGGTATGAGATGAGGATTTTTCTGCCAGAGGCAGAAGGTGAGTGACGGAAATTGGCAAGTCCAGCTCTGAGGAAGGTCACCATCAAGGCAGCCCACAGCCTCTTCGGTAGGCAGGCCTGAGCCGATGAGCCTGCAGGGCTCCCCCAGCTCGGTTTCCCCCCTTGTATCGGGAGAGGGAGTTTGAGCTAGGGAGGGCCTTGCTGAAAGCAAAACGTAGCTCTCCTCTCTTGAGTCCGGAGCTCTTTCTACCACTCCATGATCTCCTGAAGAAGCAGGGAACAAATTGCTCTCCAGCGGCGCTGGTAAAGATAGATATGCTGGGGGGCAGGGGGAGGGAGAGGGGGGACAACAAATCTCCAAACAACAATCAGGACTCCTTAATGTGAAAAGCCACCTGCTGTCATGGTGGCTCCACCATGTCAGAGGAGACTCATGCTCCACAGGATTGTCACGGTTGAGTTTTCAGAAGCCGATTGCCACACCTTTCTTCCGAGGTGCCTTTGGGGTAGGTGGGAACCTCCAATCTTTTGGTTAGCTGTCAGTCACGTTAGTCATTTGTACCATGCAGGGACTCGAGAGTTCATATCAATCAAGGTGTCTGCTATGTGCCAGCCATTAGGCTAAGTGCTTTAGGACCTTAGAGGTAGGTCCTTGTCCAGTTGCCACTTGAGAGATGAAGAGGTTATGTTGTCGTTAGCAGAGGGGAGGCCTAATCCAAATAGGGTCGACGAAGGCTTAAAGTCCCCTGCTAGGCTACGCTGGCTCCCTGACGATGATGATTAGTGGGTGATAGGTGCTTATTTCTCTCAAGAAGCCTACCGTGGAAGTACCAACACTTCAAAGCCTAGTCTCTGCTATGCCGGGCGAGCAGGATTCGAAGAAAGCATTTGATTTTCCCACTCTAGCTAGAAGGTATCCTTTTTATTACTCATGGTTAGAATGAACACCTAAGAGGCTATGGGGAGCCTCACAAAATCGTGAAACCTGGGCATTTGGGGACCAAGTTTAAGCTTGGGCCACCGTGTCATAGATCTGCGAGCCCAATCCCTCACCATCCTAAGACCGCATTCGTTCACCTGCAAATGGAGAGTGGTACATTGACTCCCAAGGTTGGAAAGTGGCCGTGGATTTGAGAGAAATCAGAGATTGGTCCCTGAATGCAGTACAACTTAAAGAGGCTGGAGGAAACCCAGATCCAGAAGGAGCGGAAGTTGAGAGGCGTTCACTTCCAGGGGAACATCAGTATTCTTTGTGAGACTCTCTATTTTGCCTTCCCTCCACCAGGAAGTCAACACCCTGCGCAGCCAGATCGGCGAGCGTCTCAACGTGGAAGTGGACGCTGCCCCCACCGTGGACCTGAACCGGGTGCTCAACGAGACCAGGTGTCAGTATGAGGCCCTGGTGGAGACCAACCGCAGGGACGTGGAGGAATGGTTCACCACGCAGGTGGGCATCTGAGCACGTGGCCTTCTTCTGCCCCCGAAGCCCCCGGTGCCCTCAGGCAGGCTCTCATCCTCATCTGTGTTCTGCTCTCTGGCTGTTTCAGACGGAGGAGCTCAACAAGCAGGTGGTGTCCAGCTCGGAGCAGCTGCAGTCCTGCCAGGCCGAGATCATCGAGCTGAGACGCACCGTCAATGCCCTGGAGATCGAGCTGCAGGCCCAGCACAACCTGGTGGGTGCTGCTCCCTTGTCCTGCTGAGCGATGTGAGGTGGGAGAAGCCAGTCCCTCGGGTCCCCTTCCGACCAGAAGCTCTCCTGAGCTCTGGAAGCGTATGGCTTCCTTGGGACAGTATAGGGAACCCCTTCCAAGGAGACTGTCTCTGATATTTTCTTCCTTCCCCATCCCAGAGAAACTCTCTGGAGAACACACTGACGGAGAC